AAATATCCCTTTTAAAGTCAAGACTGGTGCTACAGAAAATAAATTTAAATTTTACAGTAACTAGAAATACTAAGACATTAGTATATTGTGAAAAAAGTTTATGAAGAGAAATGTTAACAACAATTTAACATTTTATCCAACAGTATATCTAGACTATTTGGAGATAGAAAAGTGTTAACTCCTCCTCTTCCTCCTAAATCTTTCTAATTAATACAAATACGATAAATATGTCATCACTGCCTTCTCTATGAAGTGACACACTGTAGCACAGCATCACTCCTAAATACACCTTATTGATCATTAAAGGATATTAATTTCTATATTTCTATTCCCCAAAAATACCTCTGATAATGATTTTGAGCCATATTCAAAATAAAATGTCTTTTTGAATCATATTAATCATCTGGATATTTGCTGGACATTGTTCCAAACCATAACTGCTAGAATTAATTCCTTCACTCCTCAAAAGTAATCTTCCACAAAAAATGACCTGCATTTCAATGCTGTGGAGTACTTAGTACAAACATAACCTCTAAACCTCTGGTTTAAGAGATGAATATGTAACTTTGGGGCTCTCTATCCCATGAATAAAGAACATAGAAATATAAAAGGGAAAAGGAAACTAGTAAACTCTACTACAATGATATGAAGATTAAAAGAAAGACCAAATAGTTTAAATTAAACGAAGGGCAGAGTTACTTAGAAGGTTACTTAACATTTATTAAAGATTTCTGATTAAGAGATGAAAAATTTGTTTAACAACCTTGTTAAAGAATATCTGCTAGGCACCTATGACTTTGTTTTTGGGGTTTATGCCCTTTCACATGTCTAAGCACTTCAGAGAAAAAAGAGAAAAAACAACTTACAGTCTAATGACTACTAGAATAGAACTACTTTTTCTATCTAGGGCAAATCACACTCAAATTCTACACAAGTGAAGTCAGTTGAGGCCACTGACTGTCAAGTGCAGACATTTTGTCAAAGTTCATTGTGGATTAATCAAGAACATGCTTCAACCATCAGAACCAAGACGACTGTGAATTTACAAAAACAAATCATTATGAATTGCCTTCAGTGCTCGAGCCATAAATTTGTAAAACATTTCAACTGGCATACTGTGGTATTTAATTTTAATTCTTTAGTATATTCAGTAAACAAACACAAACCACAACAGGACTAAAAAAAGCGTGCACTGAACTTTATGTACAGTACTCTACAAAGCAAATCTCTCCAAACCCTAATAAACTCTCCATTAACAAGGACATGTGAACTGTAAAAATCATACCTCCAGGAATTAGACCTCATCAAAATTTTGTTGTAGGGGATATTCAGTATGGACCATTAAGGCATCAGTAATTCTCTGAGGGCTTACACTTACTCCACAAAGCAGGGCACTGAAACAAAGATGACACTTTCCAGTATCACTATCAGCCATATGAAAGTCCATCAATCACACCCATCACAACAGGATTTTTCAGAGCAGGCCAAACACCAAGGAGAATGTGTCCTCACTGAATCAAAATGCAGCTGTCAGAACTTCGTACCATTTTCTCTAGTATGATTTTTAATAAGACACACTAGCAACTCTTGTTTTTTCTTTGCAGATTTTGAATATTTCAGAGGCTGTAGGCATGTCATTTAGATCAAAACATCACTTAAGAAAATGCGACAGACTCCAAGCAAACATAAATATACTGAACTTGTATTCCTTGTAATGCATATGCATTGATTTCATGAGGCATGGAAACCAGCTATGTTTACAAAGAGTATTCATTTTAGCAAATCATTGTGCCTAAAAATCATTACTACAAACTGATTTAACTTTAACATATAATAGCTTTGCCTCCTGTCTCCAAATAGGCATTATAAAAACATAAAATAATTAATTCCCTTCCCTGGTTTTGCTTGGTAACCCAAGACAAACACAAAATAAAAAGGAAGGAAGGAAGGGAGAGCATAATAACAGTGGGAACAGCGTACATTGTCATCCATGAGTTACCTGGTTCGGTGACATGCCTATGTTGTTATTTCCAGTTAAACCTGAAGAATTTTCTTTGTCTAAAAATTAGTGATTGCTTTCAAACTTCCCTGAAAATTGTCCTCGGGCCAACTATGCAATGTTATATCCCTGAACAGTCAAAAGATCCTAAGAAGTCACATATGAAATACAAAGTTTTGGAAGAATACCCTTTTTAAGGTAACCCAGTAAAAGAATATATACCAATGTTGCCTATATTACAAAAATGAGCATTTTTGCTCTTTGTTACTGAAAATTATTTACTTCCCAAGCATGTATCAAGAACAGGAGGCAACCTGGTTGTATTGCCATCACAGGTTTTCCAGATATTGAACTGCAAAATATAATGCGCACATAAATGTGGTTTAAACTTATTTAAATGACTACAGCAAAACTGTAACTTTAAGGAGAAATTAATGAGAAGCAGCTTCAGTTGAGTTTCCCTTGGACTGTTACACCCATGTGGCTTGCAGGCAAAGAGCTCTCTGATACGGAAAAATCAGCTGAGGAAGAAGGATGAGTTCCTGCTTCAAGATGCCTGAGACACTGCAATAGGCTAAAACACTACTAAAAAGAATCTTCAAAGTCCTTCAAAAAGTTCTGACAGGCTTGAAAGGGAAATAGAGAACTTAAAAGTGTTTCTTTCAACTCTTTTTGTTTTACAGAATAAATGACTGTCTGGATTTAATTTTAAAAATACAGTTGCTTTTAACTTTTAAAGTAAAATACACAATTTTGCATCTTTTGATTAGCAAAAGTTTTCATCAAATGTCAGATTCCCTAAACCATCTTTGATTTTTAAGCATAATGTATTCTTAACTCGAAAAGCTTTTTTCAAATCAAAATATTCAAAAGGTAATACCAATATAAAAAGCAGAACAAAATAAGAGTGACCTGGCCTCACAAAAAAATTCCAGAAACAACCTGGATATATTGACTAAAGTCTGACAATTTCAAATCAAATAACTCTGCATCTAATACACCATTTATTCCACAATTATAATATTATTCAGTTCTATGAGCAATTACAAACAACTTTAACATGGACACAAAGTCACAAACTCTTATACTGGTTAGAAGATAATTGCATCATTAAGTGCTGTTCCTTTCATTAAAACTAATTTTGTTTATGATGAGGGTTAGAATTTTCAAAATTTTCTTCTTTCTCTGTTGAGAGGCCACACTACATTAAAGTATCTTTTATTTAATAACAGTTCTGGAAGCTGAAGCTAACACTGATCCTTCAGGACTGTTGTTTGGTAGCCACCAAGACTTTAACCAAAACATCAGTTAATTCCACAGAACTGGAAAACTATGCTCTATATTATTGCTCTAGCACGTGTTATTCAAAGGTACTTAAGTTTCAAAGATATTTCTAAATTACAAATGTAAACATTGTTTTACTCTGTAAGTAAATACTGTCTCATGCATACTGACATCATACTGAAATGATGTTTCATTTCAGATGAAACACCACAAATAAAGCACTTCTTTTAAGTTCTTTTACTTCCTGCTTAACAAGAATTTCAACTCGCAAGAAAAGTAGTAAGCATTTGCAAGACTGTAGGTCAGTTACCTCTCATTCTTGAATTTCACCGTTGAATTTAGAAAGTTAGTAAGTTAAAAAGCTGTTTTAAAGGAAAAAAAAAAATCCTTTTTTTAAAAAATCTATTTTTCTGTTTCACAGTGAAAACAATGTCTGATGAAAAAAATGTGACAGTACCAAAGCCTTCTATCTCCATATATCCTCAGAGTAATAAAGCAGCAATAAGGGTTATCACCATCCAACCCCACATTCACACACTTTTCCCCTCCCTTTAATGTGCTTTGGAAGAACCTAAAGGAAGCACCTCTAATCAAATCCAGCCAAACTGGTCTTGATATCCACAAAGCCGTTGCAGCAAGTAGGAAATGAACCTGAAGACTATGAATCCATTCACATACAGGACCAGGAACACAAGCAAAGACTCCATGATTGACTGAAGTTCCAAAAAGGAATAAAATCCCTTTTCTAATGGTGCCTAATAAAACCACCTAATAAAACCAAAGTAGATGTTGCATTTCTTTGCTGGTCACAAACGAAATATAATCTCCTCTTTTCCAAACCTCACATATAATCAGCAGCAGCACAGTACTTCCATTCAACAGTCTTATTTCAACAAGCTCTTCTGTCGCCCTGAAAACTCAGCTTCTGAGCTTGCTAACATAGTTTTCTAAGGACTTTCCCAGGACAGTAACTATAAACATAGATATGTGTACATTCTTTCTGTTACACGTCTTGTAATGGGCACCTCTCATGGCCAGTGCAGTGAGAAAGTGTTATCCTGACCATCCAATCCCTGGCCGTGGTAGGAAGCCTATAAATCCTGGGAGGAAAAATAAACTCTGCTCTTCTTTCTTTACCACACCTCAACCTGTGTCCGCATGATCTACTGATCTTCAGCGGTAACACTCCTCTTTCCAACATTTTCAGCCTCTGCCTTGCTAGGGAAAAAATGAAAACATTTCCTATGATGACATACATCAGCGCAGGGAAATAATCACATGATGTATTTCATTTTTCTTCTGTCTCACATTGTGACCACCTACACTTTCATATTCTGACCTGCCATTCTCTTTTTACTATCTGTACATACTAACAACCACAGTAACTTTATTCCTATGCAAGGTATCTATGGATGCCTTTACTTCTATGGAAAACTCAACGAAACCTGAGCTTGGTTAGGATTTTTGGATTATGTCAACTGCTGACTGAAATGAAGGCCAATCTTTTGCCCCCAATTTGCCCATCAGCTGTTGATGACCTGAGGGAAGTTACATCATTATGTGTCACAAACAGACTGGATTTTACTACAGATTTTTAATTGTTTACCTGTCTCAGCTCTGAAGCATATTGCAAACTGGCATATTTTCTTATGAAATAGTTAAGTAGCTTCACCAGAAGAAGATCCTGTTAAATACACACAGACATACAAGTCCTCACCTTCCCCAGGACTGACTGCAGATGGAAGACTGGTCCAGTCTAGGGTCCAGCTGGGGCACGGATGAGGAGAAAACTTTGCTTCAATTCCATTTTCCTACATGAAAGGAGGGAAAAAATAAATTAAGACCCTTTACCTACCTAAGATGGTATTAAAATTCTCACTAAATTTAATGGCATCAGATCAAACTGCAACACAGTCCAAGCAAAACTGAACAGGCAGATGACTACACTATACAACATTCAAATTATGTATATTTCTCTCATTCTCACAAAAAAGCCCTGCTAATTTTTTTAGGAAATGCTGTCAGCTTCTATGCAAAAAATATTGGATTATGGTACATGATGGACAGTTTTCTTTAACAAAACTCATTAGGGTTCCCCGATATTCAAAGCTTTAATCAAACAGAAAAAAAAAAAAAAACAAAACAAAAACCCGAATGAAAAGGTTGGATAATGAAGCCAAACATAAAAGCAACAGTTTTTTGTCATTCTTTATATAAATGTCTTTTAAAGAGAAATACAATATTGCAATTCAAACAAAAAGTTACTTTGATTATTCAGAATTATTGATAGGGCTCCAACAGTCCTATCTTCACGCAATTCCTGAATCAATCAAATATCAGAAGAGAAGAAAAAAACAGAATAACTTCTAAGTCAATGCATATCAGATTTAAGACAAACAAAAGGTATGAAACTGTTCAAGGCTGTCAGAATTAGGTTGTACAATTCTAATAAATTCTACCTACTCAAAATCAAGCAAATACATCTATAAAAATAACCCATTAATCACCATTAACTTAGTCATGGTTGGCCTTGGACCACCTATAAAATGACTTTCTTCATTATCCTCTTCCAACTCATCAGGAACTGAAAGAGAATCCTGTAGCTGTTCCCCAGGAGCAGACATCAGCTCTGGAAGCTGGAGAAGCTCCATGTTGCATTTGCCAGCAGCTTTCTTTACTCCAGGTACCTCTTGAACTCTTCTATACCAACTGGATATCAGTGGCAAGTTTACCAGATTTTTGCCTTGTTTCTTGCTGGAAACCTGTAATAATAAAATAAGAAGGTTAGAGGCTACTGTAAATTTCTTGCTACAAGCCACCAAAAGGTATGAACTACAGGAGTGAGCTCAGCTCTATGCTGAGCACATGCACTCACAGCATGATGGCAATACAAAAATCAGCTGGTTCAGAGCTCCAGGTGGAATTGGCAGTTGGCCATTTAGACTTTATCTGAAATTCCCATTTGCTAAATAGGATGAAAAGGTTTACATGAGCAATTTTAATCATAATTTCAGTCAGTAACAGGAAAACTCCATATAAATAATACTCTTAAATGTTTCCGATTTCCTAACAAATATTTGCTATTTCCTAACACAGGAATGAATAGTTTGGTTGGTTGTTAGACAAAAAAAGTAAACCCAATGCAGTAATTTGCAATGAATACTGAACTCTAAGCATGATATTATGGTACCTGAATGGTCTTCCCCACAAGTAGCCCTTAAAAGCTCATCCACCAACAGCTGTTTTCCTGGGAACTACAAGACTGAAATACCTTAGACTATGTGGTAAAAGGCATACATTACCCCTGGTCTTTACTCTAGTCTTTGCAATACATCTGTGGCTTTTTTTTTTTTTAATTAGTACTGAATATTTTTTTTTAATCGTGTATTACTTTTTAGAATCTTAAGTTCATATTTTTATACAATAACGGTAACTAGTATATTTCTACTCTGAAGTAAGTGTATGTGATTATGAATTAAGGTGGCCTCCAATAGAAACTAGTATTTTAAGTATAAAAAATTAAATGAAAACATTTATTAAGTAAGAATATGCTGCACATATAAAAAAAAATATACCCAAATCACTTTTTAAGATGAAGCCTAGCTACTTTTTAAAAGGATGCATTTGATTAAATTAAATAACTTTTGTTTAGATTTCCAAATGTTCTAAGACAATGGAGATAGTCCTCTTGCAGGAGAGGTTGTGAAATATCCTTAAAGACACTCAAAATATGACTGGACACAGTCCTGGGCAACTGGCACTAGCTGACCCTGCTCTGAGCAGGGTGGTTAGATAAGATGAGCTCCAGATGTGACTTCCAACCTCAATTATTCCAACTGCAACTATTCTGTGAGCATTTGTGAATATCCTGTGAATGCTGTGCCTGCTTTAAATAGAAAATTAAAAATCATGATTACAGGAATAGGCAGAAAAAGCCATGCAAAACCAACATTCTTCCCCAGATCTGTCCACAGTACGGAAATAGAAGTCGGTAAAGAACACTTTCGACACAAAATTTCCACCAGCTCTCCTACATGCTGTGTTTATAATATGCTTTGGGTAATCACAAGTAATTAACAATAGCTAAAGGAGCAAAAGAAGGATGAACTGTGTAACTTTACTATCTAATTTAATATCCTAATAGTAACACAGGCAAAACCACATTAATTCAGTTAAGGAAGAAGTCTTTTGGAAAGCAATTCTAAGAGGCACTGTTACATTTGTTATCAAGTGTTCTAAATTGTATTTTAAAATGTGAATAGTGTTTTTTTCTCAGATGAGGAACTGAGCTTTTGTTATACTTCTATTAATTTTCAACAGTTACAACTAATAGAAAGCACAACAAAGGTAACCTCAGAATGATAACAGCAGTGAAATGAGGTAATGAAAAACAACCCTTCAGCTTCATTATCTTACTTTTGGTAATTATAATTATAATCAACTAGTCAGGTCTCCTCATATTTATAGGATGATATTTTCCAGACACATACTCACTTAAGACTTCATTATTATTCACATCCTTAATTCAAAGCAGAACTGGACTGCAACTGCAGTGATTTTTTTAAACACAATCCAGGGAGTCCAGTTACACAAGTGACAAATAACACATTAATACAGAATTAAACTCTGGGACTTCCATCAACAAGAGCAGTTTCAACTCACTACCTACAAGAAGCTTTCAGATGCAACTTTTTCAATTTTGATGAGGACTGTAGGCATCAAGGTATAATTGCTTAGAAAATTATCATTCACCAGAGAACAGAAATAAACAAATATTATCCCAGATCTCTTGTAAAGTAGGTAATAATGAAACTGAAAGCCAGGTTTTCAGGGCCATCCTTGGTGTGCTAACGCAAGTGTACTGTAAAATACCTAGTTCTTGAGCTGCAGAACACCAGGGCTTTAGGGTAACATACAAAAAGTCAACAAACACAAAAATTCTCAGCTGCTCACAGTACATCCACAGAGTGATTCCAACTACATTGCTGAAATCAATTAAGCATCTGATGCAAAAATCTCATGCCTAGTACCAGTAAATATTACTCTAAGAAGTAGTGCTCTTATATTAAAAAGCTCTTGGAAAAATAAAAGCTGAAATACATTAAAGTTTTTTAAGTAGTAAGAAAGCATTTTGTCTTAATACTTTAGTATCATCCATACAGAAGTTGCTGTTCACCTCCAATTATGTGATTTGCAAAACAAACAAAGCAGATGTGAATTAAGAAGCATTTCTGTAAAACTACTCATCTCAATTCAAAGGCAGCATATTGCTATCATCATACAGAAATCCACTGAGGATGATGATACTGCTTAAAGAAGTTATAATGCGGACATTTGTCACATTATGAATATTTGATAGTCATTATCTTGATTTTCGAGATTGTTATTCTCAATGGGACTAACAGCATCTTCACCAGGAATTCCATTTGTTTTCAAGCACCATAAGAGAAATTTGGCAAACCAACTTGCAAAATCAAAATGCAAATGCTCCTTGAAGAGACACCAGCTAAGCCATAAATCTCATGGAATAACTGCAGGAATACTGGAAGGAAGCAATTGTACCATTGTATCATTTTTGTTATATTTTGTATCATTTATATATGTATATGTATATATTTATATCATATTATTTTGTATAATTTTATTCTGATGGGAAATAAAGACAGTGCTGTCATTTCCTTAAATCTCCCCTGTGTATCTATCCTCATAAAACCAAGTACACAGATAGTTGAGCAAGACTCTTGCATGGTCTTGCCACAGAAGTTTTTCCCACTGTAGAATTAGTCTAAGTTGAGCTCAAGTCATCTGTACCAGTATTTTTAAATTATTATTTTGTGGGCAAATTGGTGCCAAAATATTTCAGTATAGTATTTTAACAGTTAACAGTGTTTACTAACCATTGATATGCTCTGTATCTACAAGTAATTTTAGTGACCTCACCAATCCCTGTTTTTTGTGTTTGTACAAAAACAAGACAAATCTCTGATTTTGGGTTAAGGTCACGTTGTAAACACTACAATATGTTTCAAATTAACATATTTAACATAAATTTGTTTAAGATAAACATAATTGACAACTTTTAGGCTCTGAAAAAACATACACATAACACTAGTTAATATTTGCAGAATCTGTCAGCTTACCAAGAACTGATGGATGCATGGCAAAAGCACTAGGTCTGCCACAGTAAAATACAGTCCTTCTGCAAAAACATGGTCCAAGAGTGGAAGGTCAGAGGTTTTTGTTCTCCTGATGTGAGGGGCCTCCCTGCTGATGGCATCTGGTGCTTCCTGGGCAAGTAGTTTAGAGAAAGCAACGCTCAGTTCCAAACTTGGGGGTGGATGCTCATGGACTCCACCTGGTTTTAATTCCTCTGTTGCTTCTTCACCAAGCACAGGCACTGCAGCCTTGCTACCTGCCTTCTGTTGTTGAAGTTTCTGCCTTCGAATTTTGTCATCGTTATGTACTCGGACAGGCTCTCCAAGCTTCCTTTCCAACAGCAAAATGTCAGGAGGAATAGCCTGGCAGTTCTCAGGAGAGGCTGTCAAAAATCTTTCAACAGCCAGAGGTATGCTGATCTCACAGAGCCTGGTCCACTGGCTAACCTGCACAATAAATTTACGTAATTAGTGTCTCTACAGACATAAAAACAAAATCCAGAATAACTTTTAGTTACTTTTGGTTACTCAATCACTTCAAGCAAAGGAATTCCAGCTTTAAATACATTCTTTGTTAACCTTAGAAGTCAAATATGTCTGGATTGCCTTTACAACAGCAGAGCTAGAAAGCTAAATTGTATATATAACAGAACAGTTGTCCAGTACAGCATGTTTTTATTTCCTTACTATTGACATAAAATTAGGGTGGCTATGTAACTCCTAAGAAACAAAGCTGTGATCTGAGTTGAAGGCACAGCAATCAATGGCAAGCATGGAAATAGCAATCATGCCAGGGTGGAGTTCAGCCTCCTGAGAGGCTTGAGGAAGGCAAGTCTAGATGGATGAGCACACTGCTACAAATGGGCTGACATCTCAACTCAAAGGGTAGTGTTGGTTAATAGTTCACTCTACCTGAAGCCAGTTAGGAGTGGAAATCTTTAAGGGTCTATGCTGAGACCTATTCCATTTCATCATCTTTACCTGGAGGGGGGAGATGGAATACACTCCCATCAAGGATGACAGGGAATTGAGAAGAGCAGACAACAAATTCCCAACAAACTCCAAGGTAGAGTTGTCATTCACATGAGCCTGCACAGACTAGAGAATGAACTGAGAGAACTGATGTGAAACTCAGAATAATCCACACCTAGGAGGGAATTATCAGCCAGAACGGTACAGGTTAGGGACTGACCACCTGGCCAGGTATCCACTCTGCTAAAAAGACACAGGACAACCTGGTGAGAATAAGCTAAACAAAAGCCACCTTGACAGTGCAGGCTAAAAATACATAGTGCTTTTCAAATCAAAATCAGCAAGAAATTAGGTATTTCTTAGTTTACTTCAAACTTTTTAACGCATTTATACTGCTAGACATGAAACAAAGATCTGACCTACTTTTTAACATTAAAGTTCTTTTTGTGCTGCTAAAAAGTAGTATCTTCAAAAATAATTATTTTTCATCCTTGTGCCAAAATACAGGTATTTCTGTATAGAGAAAATAGCATTTTCTAAGCAAATTAAGTTTTTTACTAAAAGAACTTACTTGACATCAATATTAACAGCCTACTTCAGAGCATTTAATACTTATTAAAAAACCAATCAACGTATCCAAGAGAGAGAGAGACACACTCACTTCAGCACAGGCTTTTAAGCAGGTCTTCTTAAAGCCCAAGAGTTCCAAAAGATCCTTTTTAGATGGATCTGCCTCAAACGTTTTCTGTATTATATGTCTTAAGACCACAGAAAGCCCAGCTCGGCAGAATTTGTCATCTTTCATGACAACAGCAGGTAAACTGCAGCTCTGCACAACCACTGGAAGCTGACATCTGGAGATTAAATGGACCTCAAGATCACCAGCGAGGTTTTTTGTCACACACTGATCACCCACATCTTCGCCAGTTGGCACTAAAAAAACTTTAAATAATTTGCAGTCACAGTAGGATAGCAAAAACAGTGAGATAGATGTATGAAGAGGAAAGATACTATCTCTGTACTGATGAGAAAAAGCCAAATATAAATGTTCTTCAGCAACATTATCTTTCATCTTCTTCCTGAGATGAAGTTCCTGAAATAGAAATCAGAGTATGACATTCATAAAAGAATACAGAATTTAAAAAAAAAAAAAAAAAAATTAAATCACTGGTTCTTCCACTATCTGCTACAACTGATTCGAACATAAGATACTACTGAAGACCTCCTGCCTGAATAATTGGCAGGCCCTTTTTTGAGAGAAAAAAATGGTTTCACATCTAGACTGTCTCTTTCCATACAAGACCATGGATAGGAAAATGATCTCTGTAAATTTTTTTTTAACATTTTAGCATATTTCTGACATCAAACAAAACTTAAGGAAAATGTTTCATTTTTAATTTTTAAGTGCATAAGCATTTTAGAGCAAGGTTTTTTGTTTTTTTTTTACATTAAAATCTTCTACAATATTAACCATGCATTATTAAAAAAAAACCAAGTACCTGAGCACGTATCTACAACAATCAGTTCCCAAATACAAACATCTGTCTTTCTGTAACTGCTAAAAGGCAGGTATTTATAAATTAATAAATCAAGTTATAAAATTTATATAAATTATATTTATAAAATAATAAATTATTAATTAAATTTATAGGAGGTATTTAAGCCATGGGAAGTAATATTGGCTTCTGTATTAAAAATTAATCTAGAGTTGGGTGAGAGAATAAAATAAGCAAATAAACATTCACCTCATGATACTACGTGAACACCTCAAACACACAACTACTTTAAAGCAGTCAAATTCAACAGTAGCAGAGCTGTAATATCTTCTCAGTATATTAGAAGCTCAAAGTAATTTTCCTTACAGTGGGTTGAAAGCTACATTTTTCCTACTACAATATTCCATAGGAGTTTAACATAAGGCACTGATGCAGTAATTTTTCTGCTCCATCACTCATCAGCATTGCCCAAAGCAACCTTACAGACGACGGTGGCGTTGGAAAGCCTTAGACACTAGATGGCCCTCCTACAACGAGAGTCACACACCACAGCTCGGGCACAGTGAGCTAAAGAAATTTAAATGTTGCTAAGAAAGGCCAGAATAGGGTTTTATATACATGTATATAAAGCACAAGTTTCACTGGAACAGCATCAGTCTTTCTGTCTAGATTAATCTGTCTAGATTAATAGTCTTTGCACAATTACACAAATATGATGTATTTCTTAAAAAAAAGGTTTCATTTGATACATCTTGATTATTCAATTTATTTTTTTCCATGTAAACATGTACATCACACTTGCTACTTTATATTACCTACCACAGGGCCAAATTAATTGCCCAAAAAGAGGGGGTGGAAGAATAAAATCAAGTCCACCTGAGATTAAGAGCATACTAATGTCTGTTACAGTGAAACATTTTTAAACCATTAAATGACAAGAACAGTGGCTCTACTACGAGTACTATTGCTTTTCTTTAATGAATACACTGCCACACAAAGAACAGGACAGTACACAATGCAATACCTACTTTGCCACAAGATATTTTATTTGGGTAAATCTTGACAGCATGGAAGTCGAGACAGACTCTACATCCTAAGTACAGCTCTGTGGTAGAAATCATACAGTGAAGGCACTGTCAGAGAGGTAAATCAAAAAGAGTTACTGCTACCATGGTCACATCCATAGCTTCCAGCCTTTAGTCTCCAATTCTCGACTACAGTACCTCTTCCAATATTAAAAAGTACTCTTCAATGCATTTAGGTTATTATTTTTGTTTTTCATGGGAACTCAAAGAGCTCACAGTCCATCTTTCGCTGGGCATGCAAACCACTCAGACATACACATTCATCTCATCACTCAGTTTTTTCTTCTAGCTGACATTTCTGGACTCAGCTATTTTGGTCACTTTCACACTGTGCAAAACTGCTAAATATTCTGGTTAACTGTGACAAGGTTTCTATTTCCAAAGTATATTATTCTATAGTTTCCATCTGTTAATCACCCGTTCCTACAATTTACTTTTAAAAATTTCTTACAAGTAATTTTAATAAAATGGGTTTCCCTAATGACTACAACTTGTTACATGGGTCACTAGAATATCAAAGCATTCAGTCTGTTTTTATTTGAATTGTTAATTATTGCAAAAAATCTCTATGTCCCCGCACCACACCAGTAACATCTCACAGACTTCCCTCTCAAAGAGCCTTGCAAGGTAGAAGTTTCCTGTGTTGCTGTTACACATGTGAAAAACCAAAAGCACAAAGAGAATTTTTAGTTCAGCGTCACACTGGAAGTCTGTCCTAGGGCAAGCCAGAAATTTGGACATTTTTCCTTAAGGTCTTTGTTGTTTGGTTGGTTGTGAGATTTTGGGTTTTTTTAAGGTCAGTCTGTGACAACAGAAACTACAGTCAGGCTAAACTTATTCTCAAATCTCACAGTAGAGAAACCAAAATGATCTGTCCAGGAGTTCTGTCTATAAGTGACTTTACCTCTGTTTCCTCATTGCTTCCTGTGAGAAGAAAGGCCTTCTTAAATCATCACGTCAACTGAGCTGTACACAATTACACTGCCACACCCTACCCCTCTCCCGTATTTTACTTCCAAGAATTCCTCCCAACATTTTGTCTCTAAGCATCGACATTATAAAGCCACTTCCTATATTTTTTGTTTCCAATACAGGTGCTTTTCCACACTGTTTTGGCTCTGTACAGTCTATATTCCTTGCAGATTTATGCACAGATTTTCAATTCAAAGACATAACAGGCTACCGGGTTTCCCATTCTCACTTAAGTATTTTCACATAACTACTACCTATCCATTAAATGTGTTTATTAATCCCTTGGCAGCTCACTGAGACAAAAGCAGACACAGACATCCACAGTAAAATGAAATGTGCAACACAGAATTAACCAAACCTAATAAGACATTGCACTATTTGCTCACAGTATTTTTTTCCCAGCACGTTTTTTCTCTAATAAGACCATAAATTCTGTGGGAAGAGATGGATTTTTATTCTATTTGCCATATTTACAGTAGCCACTGTTTGAAAGAGTGAAAATCAAAAGTGATGATCAATACAGGATTTGCACCATAACTCAAAAGACAAAGATAAATAATGTTGCCTACCTTTGGTATAAAAGACACCTACTTAAAAGTTATAACTATTATGTTAGTGTAACTTTCACCAACTGTACTGGTACATTCGCTCTTCCCTTTCGACATGCACTAAACACTTAAATTAGTTTCACTCAGCTGCCCTGTTAACAACGTAGTAAAGAAAATCGCTGCTCTAAAAACAACTGTTTCCCATAAAAACTAAAGACAAATAAATAAGTACATAAACTAGTCCCTGAAAAAGATCCCATTCATTTGTTGATTACTAAAACGTCACTTTTGTTAAGCAGGCGCGTTAGCATCTGAGAAATGTTTCATATAATGCCATTTAAAAACGTGGCAAATACTTAACATAGTGCAAAGTATTATTTGTGCGTTAAGGCACATAACTCGAGAGCCAGGAGTTATATTTCTATCCAAGACGATCCATTTACAGGATGCGTTCAGGGCCACCCCTGCACCCTCAGGGAGCCCTGAGGGAAGCACAGAAGAGCTTCGAAGCCGAGCTTCAGGCCGGTCTACGAATAAAGTCAAAGGTGTGGACGGTTCTGGAGCCAGACGCGGGCGGGCCGTGAGGGACAGAGCCGGGCCAGACTCAGGAAGGCAGCACACGCCTGAGCCCGGCTACTGCAGAGAGCGACAGCACCGAACCACAACTCCCTCGCAGACCCGCTCCCTAAAGCCTCTGCTCCCAGCTGCTCCCGGCGCCCAGGAAGCGCTGCCAAACCAGCCCCAGGACTTTGTCGCCACCACCGCCTTCCCTTTATCCCGCCCTTCCTCCTGCTCCTTTTCCTTACCCCGGCCCGGCCGCTTCCGCCCCGGCTCCGCCCCTTCCTGCACCGCCCCGGCCCGCGCACGCCGCCCGGAACTGCCGCCCGCGGCCCGCGCTGCGCGGGGGAACTGCGGTGGTGGTGCACCCTCCGGGCGCCTTCCTCCTCCT